GTTTAGGGTTTAGGGGTTCAGGGGGCTATATGGACCACTTTAAGAGAGACATGGGCAGGTTATATGCATATGTAAGTGATAAGGATACTTAGGCATGTATCGCAACATTTCCCCAATAATGGAGAACCAAATGGAAAGGAACTTGGAAAAACATGGCAAATCAAATGGAAGCTGGGTTTAGGGTTTGGGGATTTGGGGTTGCGGGTTCGGGGTCTTGGGTGTCGAGCTTTTGGTTAAGGCTTCAGGGTTTAGGGCTTTGGAGGTTCATGGGTATCTATAGTTGGGGCTATATGAGCTATAGTCTAAACTCCTTAAAGGGGGTTATATAGGGTATTATATAGGGACTACTAGAAGGGATATTAAGGGGGATACTAGGAGTTTAGACAATGGCTCACATAATGACCTTCCCTCAAATTCAACACCTTCCACCCTCGAATGCCAAATATACTCTACACGAGGCAGTATGTGTTGGGGCCGCACATTAGATGCGGGGGTGTTCAATACGATGGAAAAGTAATGGAGCCTTTTGCCGGGTATGTATGAACCTACTGAGAGCTTGCTGCAACGGCATTAGAGAGACTGGCTACAGCTATGGCGACAAAGTTAACATGCAACTGTCCTACCCTTTGCAAAGAAAAAGCGCAAGGCGAGGCGGCTGCCGCCTACAAATGCGTCAAGACGCCGCTTGGTAGATCCACCGGTGCGGCGCAAGCGCACCAGCGCTGCCAACATCTCAGCGTCTGTTGTAGGGAGACCTTCCATAGCCGTACTCCGCTTCCATGGTTGGTGTCGGCCAACTGCCTTTCTGCAAATTCGCTACCCATGAGCCTTCAAGCAACCTTTCGCCCAAAAACCCCCCATTTAGGTGTTGATATGCAGCATAATGTGCCGGGCTACGCACACGAAATACAAGGCTTCAAGCATGTGTAAGTACCTCACACGGAAACCCTCAGCCCTGCAAATCTAAACCTTATCCCCACAACTTGACTGGGTGAACGAATCTCGCGCATCATTCTCTGCATGAACGTTGAAGCGTTTTGGTTCCAGAACGAACCTTCATGGGTACTCACAAGGGACTATGAGAACGGCATATTAAGGCCCTTCTAAATCCATACCTAGGGGCAGTTTCTGTACAAGGGATTGACCTAAATTAGGCTAAAGGTCAGCTTTGCAGATTTCCGGCCATAAGTACCTAAAAAGAGACAGCAACACAAGGACAACTGGGCCATTTTTGCAAAGCACCCCTCATAAAAGATTGCACCAGGATCCTGGTTTAATTGTAAGGCATCCCTCAGTTCCCTATTATTATACCCTACAGCCTAAACCCGTAAACCCTACACCCTAAACCCCTAAAACCTAAACCCGTAAACCCTACACTCTAAGCCCCTAAACCCCTAAACCCCTAATCTCCTAAACCCTAAGCCCTATACCCCTCAGGTGAAGGTTTGGGAAGTTGGAAAAGCAGGTCCTACAAGGGCTACACAAGGATCTATCAAGATATGAACTATGGTCCAAACTCCTGAAAGGGGGGTTATGCAGGGTTTAGGGTGTATGGTTTAGGGTTTAGCTGTAAACTCCTTGAAAGGGGTTATCTAGGGGATTGTATAGGGGACCATTATAGGGCTTATTAAGGGGGATACTAGGAGTTTAGACTATACCTCATGCATTCGTATATGTTGGGTGTTTTAGGCTTACTGGCCACCCCGGGACTGATAGCCGGCTCAGGTTTGAGGAGCTTTCAGATATTAGGGTTTGAGCTTCGAAGTAATGTAGGACTGTCAGCATCACAACGCCTGGGTTCAAGCTATTTCTGCCTGAAGTTGCGGGGTAATCGCCTAAGCCCTAAACCGCTAAACCCTACACCCTAACCCCTAACCCCTAACCCCTTAGTCCTTGAATCTAAAATCCTAAACCCTTAAGCCTAAATCTCTAAATTTCTAAACCTTAGACTTTAAACCCCTAAACCGGTCATTCCTTAAACCCTGAGCAAGCTGCCCCGACGCCTCAACGGTTCCCGGCGTAGGGCTCAACGCCATGAAAGTGAACCTGACAAGGGCTTGCCTTTTGAGGATATAGGGTTTGGGGTTTAGGATATAGTCTGGTTGGTTGTCAAAATTATGGTCCCCATTAGGGTTATATTGGGGTTATATGGGGGATAATGGAAAAGAAAATGGAAACTACTATAATGGGTTATATGAGTGGTTGTCAAAATTATGGTCCCTTTTTGGGTACCCTAAATATTAGCTGCCGTATTATAACAGGGATCCAAAAAGGAGCCATGATTTTGACAACCATCCATATAGGGTTTAGGGTTTAGGATATAGTCCCCCTTAAGTAGATAGAATATGGGCTATATGGGGATCTTATTATTATATACCTTCCGGATTCTATCTACTTAAGGGGGACTATACACGATTTACTTCTTCAGGGTTCTGAGTCTGAGCAGGACTCGAACAGCCTCAAGCCCGGAACTGGTGGTGCTAAGCTGCCGGCCATGAACCCGCAGCACAACCTGAACCCTGAACCCTGAGCCACCCAAGATCCTAAATTCCCTAGCCCCGTCCTCGAATGATCTAGGGAACTAAATAGGTAGAATGCTGCAAAACACGCCTACAAGGTACAAATTGAACCGCAGCTACGTCTGCAATGCAATAGGAAGTTCTGCCAAATGCTTACACCTCTAATATGATACTCAATTACCAGGAACGAGGTACGCAAAAAGTGTGGGTCCCCTCCTTCGGGAAGTTCCATACAGTTGTTACTAAAATTACTCGAGCCCTGACCTTGAAACATTTATATTTATGGTGCGTAGGGTCATGCAGATGCTTTGTCTCCGCCGTGGTACCATTTAACCCCACTGCTGCTGAGAAGCCTGTACGCCGTCTTCGGATCCAGGAGAACAGACTCCGGCTCCACTCGGAAGACCGTTGGTGCCTCGAGGGTTTGGATAAATGGACTTTAATGGGAACCCCAAACAGGGAACCCCAAGAATATAGTAGGAATGTAATAGGAATATACCTACCAGGGTCCTTATGTTCTATTATATTCTTGGGGTTCACTGTTTGGGGTTCCCATTAAAGTCCCTTTGTTGGATTTACGGTAAGGGACTCCATAAAGCCCGAACCAAAAATGAATGAGGACACATGTGGGT